CTGTTACATTATGTTCTGCTCAGATCACATTGAGCTAAATAAGATCAAATCTGCTGACTTGTTGTAAAATGAGACGTTTTCCTGTTTATCTTCTTTTAATAAATCTATAACACAAACGGCTTTTCTGACATTATTTAAAACATTAAATAGATTATATAAACTGTAAAAATATTAATAATAACTGTATTAATATTATTATTAGTAGTAGTTTTAATGATTTCTACATCGTCAGTCCTTTTTTTCTTCTCTGTTGTCAACATGTACAGTAATGGGAAATCCAGACTCTTGTCCGTTTAGCGTTAGCCGTTAGCTTCTCCAGCTGATCACACGGTCACATGGTCTTCGCTCACTCCAACTGTTCTATAGAACCTCCTTGGTTTGGATACATTTCTCTAAACTGGCAGACAAAATGTTTCTGTACACTTCAGAATTCATTCTGCTGCTGCCATCATTAGTTCCATCATCAATAAATATTAATGAGTCTGATCCAGAGGCAGCCATGACATCMCCTGCMCCATGCTTCACAGATGAGTTTGTGTGCTTCAGATCATCAGCAGTTCCTTTCTTTCTCCACACTTTGGTCTTTCCATCACTTTGGTAGAGATTACCGGTAATCTTGGTCTYATCAGTCCAGAAGGGTGTCGTGCAGAACTTTTATGGTTCATCTCTTTACTTTTTTTACAAATTTCAATCTGTCCTTCTGATTCTTCTTACTGATGAGTGGTCTGTATCTTTGGTCTCTATATTTCTGCTCTGAGTCTTCTTCAAACAGTGGATTGTGAAACCTTCAGCCATGCACTGTGGAGGTTGTTGGTGATGTCACAGATGTTTTGGGGTTTTTCTTCACAGCTCTCAATATTTCTGTCATCAACTCCTGTTGTTTTCTTGGCCGACCTGTTGATGTCTGTTGTCCAGAACACCAGTAGTTTCTTTCTTATTCAGGACATTTCAAACTGTTGTTTGCTATGCCCAATGTTTGTCCAGTGGCTCTGACTGATTTCCCTTCTTTTCTCATCTTTTCTCCCATAAACAACTCTCTGGTCTTCATGTTAGTTTATCCTCTTTAACAAGAAAACCCTATTTTATAGGTTTAAACCCAGGTCAAACAGTAGACTAGTCATGCAGAGATATTTCTTGTTTGAACAAACCTTAAAGGAAACACCTGGTTAATAAGAAACACCTGTCAGTCACATGTTAAATGGTAAATGGTCTAAACTTAAATTGTGCTTTATTAAGTCCCTCTGGACCCCAAAGAAATATATWTTTTTAATCTTTCTGTTAGCACCCATTAATTGTTGTTTAATGATGTCATCATGCCAGGATCTCAGAGGTTTCACCTGTCTGCATCTGGCAGCTAAACTGGGACATTATGACATCATCAGCCATCTGCTCAACAAGGCATCCAGGCACATCAACTGTCAGGTAAGATCATGCTAACTGTGGCTAACAGCTAATGTCATGTAGATCAAAGTGTCCATGAGACCTGTGTCTCTCTGCAGGACGATGGAGGGTGGACTCCCATAACCTGGGCCATTGAGCACAAGCACAAAGAGGTGGTTCACCTGCTGCTGAGCAAAGGAGCTGATGTCAACCTTAGAGACAAGGTCCATGTCTGCAACACACCATCAGCTTTACACAACCACACACAGACCTGTACACGTTGTCAGTGGTGTTAAGATGCACAACTTCTAAAATGTTACAACAGCACATAGAAACAACAAAGCTGTAACAGCACACCTACTCTCTGTTTTTTGTTGAACAAAAATGATGACAAGGTGCAGTTTGGTGTAGTGGTAGCTGAGCATCATCGCAAACTTCCCCTTTGGGATCAAAGTATTTTTGAATTGAATTTAAGCTCTACACACTACATAATATCTTCGCTTAAAGCCTTGAAATTCAGTAATGGAGTAATGGAGTTTTTATCTGTTAGCAAAATATCTGATGGACCTCTTGATGGATTTGAGTGAAACTCTCAAAATAATGACAGGATCTAAAGTCTGGTGTGGCAGTAGCTCAGACTCWGAGAACTAACACATTAGCAACACTTCACAATAACTGCACCTCATTTAGCCTTACTTAATCATTAATAAATGTTTAGTTTACCTTAAACACCATTAATTAAGAATGAGTCATGCTTAATAAGCTTTAAATTGTTTACGTGTGAATTGTTAGAGAATGTCTACTAGTCATGCGGTGTATCAGTAATTAAAGCTGTTGTCAGTAGTTAGTCAAGTCTTTTTGTGAACCCTTTATTATTTATGCTTTATAAATATTTGTTACAAAATCTTAAAAGGTCACAAGTTCCTTTTTAAACTTGTGGAAGTCAGACCAAAATCACAGTCATTTCAAATATTCTTCAAACATTACTACATGTTCAACACGTGGAGTGAAAGTACATTTACATGAACATTTAAACAGGTTGTCCAGAATGGCTGTAGTTCCCTCACGTCTCATCATAGATGATTTCAGTCTGAAACATGACAGGCAGCGGGTCATATCCAGGTAATTAAGAAATGCTAGTCCTAGTTTTATTTGGAGTCATTTAACACTGTCCTATAAATTGTTGACATATTTAAAAGGCACTTAAAGGGATCCATGATTAGTTGTAACATTAGACTTTATTTAATAAACATATATGTTAACTAAAAGTTTTAAAATATATTACATGGACAGGGCCATTTAATTTGCACACAAAGCATTCTGGGTAAATGATGACATGGATAGGTCCTCGGTGCGAGGCTGCTAGCGAGCTATATCCACCCTGAAGGTTAATCTTGGACAATATCTGATGTTGGATTCACTCCTTCCACGCCACTAGGTGACTCCATAAATCATTTTTCTTTTATTTTGAAGGGCTGTGTTAGAA